TTTGTAGCAGAACTAAAATATTATTATAATAATTTAACGGTTTTTTTCCTGGTTAAATAAATAATTTTGATTCGTTTTCAATTACAATTACTAAACTAATAGAAAACTTATGGTAGATTTACAGAACGTATTAATCCCAATTAAATTTTAATTCGCGATTAACTTGGCCCTTGTCAATGCAAAATAAATGACAACTCAATTCGAATTAGTTTAATTCTGAAGTAAATTTTAATTAAACCACTCGCGGTAAACGCACACGTGGAATTAAACCTTCTTCTCGCAAATAAACAATGATTTAATTCATTTGTTGTTTTACATAAAATCAAGTTCAAAATATAGAAATCCTATATCGTACAAAAATTATGTTCTTCTTCTTGGATCTTCTTGGTATGGAAACGATGAACAAAAACACGATTAGTCCGTCACACCAAACTTTTATTTAAAACACAACGCGTTTCAACCACAAAGTGGTCATCCTCAGGTGAGAATAAAACTCAGTTTTAAAAAAATTATGTTAATTAATTTTATCTTGAAAAAACAGTTACAAAAAATTATTCAGTTAATAATGTTTTGTTTTATATTTTATTTTTATATTTTATATTATTTTATATTTTTCTTTAAGAAATGGTTTGTTAAATTTTTCATTAAAAAAATTCAACATTTTAATTAATTTGATGTTTGACAATTCAAAACAAATAGCAACTTAATTCGAATTAGTTTAATTTTGAATTAAATTTTCATTTCGCTTTTTGTAAACCACGTTCTAAAGGAATTTATCTTGAAACTACGTCAAGTTTGCGATCCTGCCTGCTTGCGGTTAGAAGGCATCCACAGCAGGAGCTGGTTTATTGAGGCGTCATTTTCACTTTGTTCGACTGTACCTGATCGAATTTATAGACCCAAGAAATGGTAATGTCAAAACTTGACAAGCGCCGTCGTGGTGTTTATGGTCCATCCATGGGCAAAACATGTATCCTGTTTGTGGACGACGTCGGAATGCCCCAGAAAGAATGCTGGGGGGCTCAACCCCCCGTTGAACTCCTCCGTCAATGGTTGGATCATGGTCATTGGTTCGATAAGGACACCACAGTGTTGCAATTGGTCGATATTGTAAGTCACATGATTGACAATTTAGTTACGCCCTTGTAGAATTTTATAGGGGCTATGGGACCCCCCGGTGGGGGGCGAAACGAAGTCACTGATCGGTTTTTGCGTCATATGCAAATCATCGCAATTGATTCGTTTGATGACAACACACTTTCGAAAATTTTCACGACGATTTTAGATTGGCATTTTTCGAAAGGGTACGAGGAGGCTGTGACAAGACTCCATAAATGGTGTGTGGGGGCCACTATGGATGTTTACAAACAGGCGATTTTACAATTTCTACCAACTCCTGCCAAAAGTCACTATACGTTTTCGTTGCGGGATTTTTCTCGTGTTATTAATGGTGTCATGTTGGTACCACCGAACCGGATGCAAGAACCGGAAAAGTTCATCCGGTTGTGGATCCACGAGTGTTATCGAGTCTTCCATGATAGACTTATCGACGAAAATGACCGGATTTTGTTATTCGACATTGTCAAAAATTCCTGTTATCAGAATTTCCGCCAACATATGGACAAAGTCTGCGAGATTTTAGTACCAGAAGGTGAAACTCTCAATCCGAGTCACATACGTAATTTATTCTACGGTAATTATATTGAGCCGGATGCTGAACCGAAATTCTACGACGAAATCCTCAATTTGGAGGACTTAACCGACAAAATGAACTATTATTTGAGCGAATATAATCTTATATCAAAATCGCCGATGAATTTGGTGATGTTTAAATTCGCCATTGAGCATGTTTCGCGCGTGTCACGTGTGTTGAATCAGCCCAATGGGAACGTCCTATTGGTGGGAATGGGCGGGTCTGGTCGTCATAGCTCCGCCCGGCTTGCGGCGGCCATAGCCGAACAGAACACGTACGAAATCGAAATCACCCGAACCTATGGCATTTACGAATGGCGCGAAGATTTGAAAAAATTGCTTTTGAAAGCCGGTTGTGATGGAAAACCGATCGTTTTTATTTTCGGCGATACACAAATCGCTGATGAAATGTTCATTGAGGATGTTAATACAGTTTTGAACACTGCTGATGTTCCCAATTTGTATGCGCCGGACGAAAAAGCCGAAATTTTAGAACGGATGCAAAATGCGGCTCGAGAGTCGGGCAAAAAAATCGATTTGACTCCTTTGGCACTTTATAATTTTTTTATTGAGAGAGTTAAGCATAATTTGCATGTGGCGCTGTGTATGAGTCCCATTGGGGATTCATTTCGAGTGAGATGTCGAATGTTTCCGTCTCTTATTAATTGTTGTACAATTGATTGGTTTCAAAAATGGCCCGAGGATGCGTTAGAACGTGTTGCTTACATGTTTTTGAGTCAGACTGATTTAGATTCGGATACAGTGGATGTGTGTGTTGGGATTTGTCAACATTTTCACACTACTGTGAGTAAATCGTCGGATTTGTTCTACAGAGAGCAGAAAAGACGTACTTACGTTACTCCAACTTCGTATCTCGAATTGATTCAAACTTTTAAAAGTTTTTATTATTTGAAAGTTGGGCAGATTACGACGCAAAAAAATCGATATGAGACGGGATTGGATAAGCTGGATTTTGCAGCAGGACAGGTGGGTTTTGTGCAATGTTTCAAGAAATTTTTTTAAATAACAAAATAATAAACAATTTCATGATAATAACGTCAAGTTAAATCGATTTTAATGTCAAACGTATGAAAGGTTTGGACCAAAGCTTTTTTTACATACATCGCAAACAATTGTTTAAAATAAATAATAAAAAGTGAAAAAACGATGAAATAATAAGAATAATAATAATAGCATAGTAACAACAACTAATTGTAATAATAAAACGTTATTCTTTCTTGACTTTTCATTACACAAATTTACAAAAATAAATAAAAAAAATTATTATCACCTACCAATGAGACTTTGACATTTTTCTTTTAAAAAGCCAAAACTACAATTTCATAGTTAATATTTCAGTTACTTTTGTTTTAAAAATATACATAAAAAAATTAACTTTTTGTAATATAGTTTTTTTTAAGTAAGGTATTTTAAGTTAATTAATTTTATCCACAATCACTCTCTAAAGAGATTTTATTCCACACTTTAGATGCGTATAAAGTACCACTTTATCCACTAGTGGAATAAAGTAACTTTATTCCACCGTTAGTAAACAGCGTACCGCGTAACAGCTTACTACGTTTAACCGAAAGCACATTTGGCGTGACGTTTAAATGTCAGTTTAATTTTTAATTAAGTTTGGAATAATTTGGGCCTGTGATTGTGGATAATTAATTTAAAATTCATAATAAAAAAATTAAAATTCTACTAAATAAAATCCAAAAAAAAATCTGTCAGAGGTGTGCGTTATTGTTATGAACATGCAATCTTACATTGCATTTTTCTCTGGGGAGCGAGTTCTGGCGCACCCTGTATACTTAGTAATGTGACAAAATATTTTTTTTTTTAGAAAATCTACCAAAATGTACTGTTTTATGGTACTTTTGACAGATAATTAATACGTAAAAAAACAAAA